CCGAGCGGCCAGGTGAGCAGGGACGGGGCAGCGGTGCCGGGGTCACGCCGCTCCTTTCCGGGGCCCTCCAGCCCCGCCGCTGCCCCGGGAGCGCAGCCGGGCGGCGCGGGGCACCGGGCGGGCGCGTGCCCTGCCGCCGTGGCGGTGCCCCGGTCCCCGCGTGCGCTCCCGGGTCACTCGCGGGGGTCACCGGCGAGCCCCGTCCGTGTTCCTACGGCGCAGCCATGTGTCACCACCGCGGGTCGTGTCGCCACGGGGGTGGCACCCTGCCGTGTCCCCGCGGGCAGGTGTCCGTGTCCCCGTGCGGGGTCGCGGGGCTCCCCGTGACACAGGTGACGCTGCGGAAACACACGTGTGTCCCGGCAGGGTCACCGGGGCCGCTGCCCGGGGCCGCCGTGTCCCTCGGGTGCCCCCCCCGCGTGCGCTCCCGGGTCACTCGCGGGGGTCACCGGCGAGCCCCGTCCGTGTTCCTACGGCGCAGCCATGTGTCACCACCGCGGGTCGTGTCGCCACGGGGGTGGCACCCTGCCGTGTCCCCGCGGGCAGGTGTCCGTGTCCCCGTGCGGGGTCGCGGGGCTCCCCGTGACACAGGTGACGCTGCGGAAACACACGTGTGTCCCGGCAGGGTCACCGGGGCCGCCGTGTCCCTCGGGTGCCACGTGCCCTGGGCTCTGTCCCTGGCCCCGGGGGTGTCCCGGCTGCCCGGCCGGGGATCCCCCGGCCCCCCCACCGTTTACCCTCTGGGGCTATTTTCGGGCTCCGCGGGTATTTTTGGCTTCCCGATGCGGAGCTGGCTGGGGACGGGCCGTGCCGGTGTCACCCGCCGGGACACCCGATCCCGGGGGATGCGGCCGCTGTCCCCAAGCGGCGTTGCACAAGCGGGGTCGGGGCCCTCTTGCTGCATCAGCCCCGCGCCGTGAGTCAGCCCCGGACAGGTGGGGCCGGACGGTGTCACCCGCGGCCACCGGCCTGGCCGGACAGCGGCTGTGGCCACCGCGGGGGACGCTGGTGACGCGCGGCGCTGCGGGGCGGCGGTAAGGGCACCGAGGGGGGTGGACCGGGGGTCCCATCCTTCCCCAGGGGGTGATGGTCCCATCCAAGAGTTTGGGGTCTCTTCCAAGAGTTTTGGGTCCCGTCCTGCCCTGTGGGGGGTTGTCCCCCTGCCCCAAGGTCCGGGGTTCTGCCCTGCCCCAGAGGGGTGGGGGGTCCAGTCCTTCCCCGGGCCGGGGTCTGCAAGGCGTTGAGAGGCCACCAGGGCTCAGGACACCGAGCGGCCAGGTGAGCAGGGACGGGACAGCTGTACCAGGGTCACGCCGCTCCTTTCCGGGGTCTTCCAGCCCCCGGAGCGGGGTCCTGAGCTGGTCCCGCTCTGGGCTGCTGCCCCCGGCTCCGTGGGGAGGGGGCTCTGTGGGGTGTCTGTGGGTACACGAGTGCATGGGGAGGGGGCTCTGTGGGGTGTCTGTGGGTACACGAGTGCATGGGGAGGGGGTTCTGTGGGGGGCTGTGGACACATCCAGTCCTTCCCCGGGCCGGGGTCCGCAAGGCGTTGAGAGGCCACCAGGGCTCAGGACACCGAGCGGCCAGGTGAGCAGGGACGGGACAGCTGTACCAGGGTCACGCCGCTCCTTTCTGGGGTCTTCCAGCCCCCGGAGCGGGGTCCTGAGCTGGTCCCGCTCTGGGCTGCTGCCCCCGGCTCCGTGGGGAGGGGGCTCTGTGGGGTGTCTGTGGGTACACGAGTGTCCGTGGGGAGGGGGTTCTGTGGGGGGCTGTGGACACAGGGGTCCGTGGGGAGAGGAGTCCCCCCATTCGGGCCGGGCATCACAGCATGGCCCGGGGGGCGGCTGGGGGAAGTATTGGGGTCCCTCGGACCTTGCCGTGGTCCCTCCCGGGGAGCCCTGCAGGCTCACGGCAGGCTCTGGCACTGGCCGGGCCGGTGGGACAGGACGGGCCGGTGGCATCTGCGGTGTCACCTGCCCGCGGCCGGGGCCAGCTCAGGCCACCCGAATTCGGGGCACGCGGGCGGCGCTGCGGCACCCCGGCGGCATTTCCGGTGCCCCACATCTGCCCCGGCCCCCGCGGCGGCCCCGCGGCGGCGGCAGGTGCTCACGGTCCCCGGCAGGTGATGGCGGAGCTGGGAGAGGAGGACCGGGACTGCCGGGAGTACCGGCGGCTGGAGGATTGTGAGGAGGACTCGCCCCTCGGCGAGGAGGAGGAGGAGCAGCTGCTGCTGCACGTCACCGAAGGACCGACAGGTACTGGGGTCCCGTCTGGCGGGGGATCCGGGGTCCCGTGGGCTGTTTGGGGACCCCAGGTGGTGTTTCTGGGTCCTGGGTGGGGCGCGTGGTCCCGTGGGGGGGGCGCAGTACCGCATTCCCACCTGATCCCCCCGTGTTTTTCCCCCCAGACTCGTGGCACCACATTAAGGACCTGGACAGTTTCTTCACCAAGATATCCTGGCACAGCCCCTGGTGGCACTGTGGGCGACATGGGGGAGCATGGGGTGACTCTGGGGGGGGGCGGGGACGGGACATGGGGGGTCCATCGCCCCTTCACAGTCTCCTTAACCCCCCCCACATCTACCAGTTCCACCAGAGGAATGGCTTTGCCTGCGTCCTGCTCTCGGACGTCCTCGAGCTGCTGTAAGCGACGCCGTGCTGTCACCGTGCGGTGACACCGGGCTCCCGCTGACCCCCCCCCCGTGTCCCCCCCCCCCAGGCAGTTCCTGTTCGTGGTCACCTTCAGCACGTTCCTGCTGTGCTGCGTGGACTACGACGTGCTGTTCGCCACGCGCCCGCTCAACCACAGCCACGTCCCCGAGCGCGCCAAGGTGACGCTGCCCGACGCCGTGCTGCCCGCCCCGCAGTGCGCCCGCAGGTGGGCAGGGCGCACCGGGGACCCTGCGGGGGGGTCTTCTCGGTGCTGCGGGTGACCCACGGGCTCCCAGCGGTGTGGGTGACACGCGTGTCCCCCAAGGGTCGGCGGTGGCTGCGGCTCCCGCTGCCGCCTGCGTGGCCATGCAGATGTCCCCGTGCCACCAGCGTGGCTTTGCGGGGGCAGGGTGCCACTGGTGTGGCTCATGGGGTCCTGGTGCTGTGGGTGCCGTGTCCCCAGCAGCCTCTGAGACTGCAGCTGGCTGTGAGGCGGTTGGTGGCGCTGGTGACACCTGTGTGTCTGCAGGCTTCGTGGCAGTGGGTGGCTGCTGCCTGTGAAGGGTTTGTTGGCCCTGCTGACACTTGTGTCCCCACCTGTGTCAGCAGGTGGCTCTGATTTTGCTGGTACTGGGTAGCTGTGGGGGCATCCCAGTGGCACTGGTGACAGCTGTGTTTCCTTAGCAAGCTCTGTGGCGGTGGTTGGCAGGGGGCCACGGGGGGCTTGGTGGCACTGGCGACACCCATGTCCCCGCAGGCTCCGTGGCAGCGGGTGGCTGCTGTTCCTGCTGGTGCTGGCGGGCGCAGTCTGGCTGTGCCGCCTGGTCACGGCGCTCCGGCGCCTCGTGGGCTACTGGGAGATCCGGAGCTTCTACATCCGTGCTCTCGGCATCCCCGCGGTGAGGGGCCAGGGGCTGGCGGGGGCTGCGGGGGGCTGGTCTGGGCTAGGGGAGCTGGGGTCTGGGCTAGGGGGATTGCGGTCCAGGCTAGGGGGGCTTGGGTGTGGGCTGGGCTGTCAGGTGCCACCAAGGGGGCTGGGGTCCGGGCTGGGCTGTCAGGTGCCCCCAGGGGGGCTGGGGTCCGGGCTGGGCTGTCAGGTGCCACCAAGGGGGCTGGGGTCTGGGCTGGGCTCTCAGGTGCCACCAGGGGGGCTTGGGTCCAGGCTGGGCTGTGAGGTGCCCCTGTGGCAGCCGGGGTCCGGGCTGGGCTCTCAGGTGCCGCGGGTGCCCGGTGCCGTGCCGGGTGACACCAGCACCGAGTGGCGCTGGGCCGTGCCGCGGGTGCCCAGCGCTGATGCCCGTGCCGTCGCCGCAGGAGGAGCTGTGTAACCACAGCTGGCAGTCGGTGCAGGCCCGGCTGCTGGCGCTGCAGCGGCGCCAGCCCCTGTGCGTGCCGCGCCGGGAGCTGACGGAGCTGGCGCGGGCGGCCGTGCTGCTGGGGGCGGCCAACCTGGCGCTGTGCCCCTGCGTGCTGGGCTGGCGCCTGCTGCTCGCCTTCTTCAGCTACGCCGAGGGGCTGAAGCGGGCGCCGGGCAGCCTGGGCGCGCGCCGCTGGTCGCTCTACGCGCGCCACTACCTGCGCCACTTCAACGAGCTGGGCCACGAGCTGCGGGCGCGGCTGGGCCGCGGCCACGCGCCCGCCACCAAGTACATGGACTCCTTCAGCAGCCCGCTGCTGGCCGTGCTGGCTCGCCACGTCGGCTTCTTCGCTGGCTCCGTGCTGGCCGTGCTCATCGTGCTCACCGTGTACGACGAGGACGTGCTGACGGTGCAGCACATCCTGACGGCCATCACGCTGCTGGGGCTCGTGGTCACCGTGGCCAGGTGGGTGCCGGAGCGTTGCGCTTCCGCAACTACACCGTGGCCATGGTCAACAAATCCCTGCTGCCCGTGCGCTTCCGCCTGCCGCTGCTGGGCCCCGTGGTCTTCCTCACGCGCGGCCTGCAGTTCAACCTGGAGCTGCTGCTGTTCCGCGGCCCGGCCGCGCTCTTCCAGAACACCTGGAGCCTGCGGCCGCAGGTGAAGCGGGCGGGCGCGCGGGTGGTCACCGTGGCCAGGTGGGTGCCGCAGTGGTGGTCACGGTGACCAGGTGGGTGCCAGAGCGGTGGTCACGGTGGCCAGGTGGGTGCCGCAGCGGTGGTCACCGTGGCCGGGTGTATGGGCCAGACCCTGCGCTGTGCCATGCGGGGCCGGGTGGGCAGCGGGGGGCTGCGGTGGAACCCCGCCCGTGCCCCTGCAGGTCCTTCATCCCGGACGAGCACGCGGTGTGGTGCCCGGAGCAGCTGCTGCAGCGGGTCCTGGCTCACGTCCATTACCTGCCCGAGCACTGGCAGGGCCGCGCCGGCCGCGCCGAGACACGAGCAGAGATGGCGCAGCTCTTCCAGTACAAGGCGGTGCGTGCAGCCCCCCACTGCCCGAGCCCCCCTCGCCCACTCCCCTGGGACCATCCTCTCCCCGTAGCTCCCCAGTCCCAGCACCCCACAGACTGGGAGCCCCCCATGCTGCGACTTCCCAGCCCTGGGACCCCACCTCAGGATCCCCAGCCTGGACCCCTCAACACTGGGACCCCCTGTCCCAATCCCCTGCCCTGGGACCCCCCCACCCCCAGGACCCCTCGGAGTGGGAGCTTCCTGTGCCAGGATCCCGTAGCCTGGATCCCCCAGACTGGGACCCTCCTGCCCCAGGCCTCCCCACTCTCGAGGCGCCTCCATCCTGCTTTGGGATCCCCCACGCTGAGATCCCTCCCCCCCGGGCAGCCCTGCCCGAGGACTCCCCTCCTCAGGACCTACTGCCCTGATACCCCACCCTGGACATCCCACCCCAGCGCTTCCAAATCTGGGACCTCTGCCCGGGGGACACCCCCCAATCCCGCTGCCCCCCCACTGCAGGTTTTCATCCTGGAGGAGCTGCTGAGCCCCCTCGTGACCCCCCTGATCCTCATCTTCGCGTTTCCCCCCCGCGCCCTCGACATCGTGGACTTCTTCCGCAACTTCACGGTGGAGGTGGCGGGCGTGGGCGACATCTGCTCCTTCGCGCAGCTGGACGTGCGCCACCACGGCAACCCCCAGGTGGGCACGGCGCCGGGCCGGGGCGTCGCGGGGCCCTGCGCGCCCTGCCGGGGTGTGCCACGTGTCCCTGTCCCCGCAGTGGCTGTCGGAGGGACACACGGAGGCCCCGCCGGAGCGCCAGGCGGAGCACGGCAAGACGGAGCTGTCGCTGATGCGCTTCGCCCTGAGCAATCCCCGCTGGCGGCCGCCGCCGCCCGCCCGCCCGCCGCCCGCCCGCCGCTTCCTCGGCCACCTGCAGGCGCAGGTGACCCGCGACGCGGCCACCGCGCCCGCCCCGCGGCACCTGCTGCCCGAGGGGCCGCTGGCCGCGTCCCTGCTGTCCGAGGGCTCGGCCCTGGCGGTGAGTGGGGGGGCGTCGGGGGCGCTGCGGGATGTTTTGTGTCTCCCCGCTGACGGTGTCCCCGCAGCCCGAGGCGCTGGTGACCAGTGTCCTGGCGGCCCGCGACCCCCGCTTTGGGCAGCCCTGCGGCACGGCCAGCGCCACCGCCAGCCTGCTGGCGTCCCTACGGACCCCCCTGGGGACCCCGCCCTGCGGAGCCCCCGACAGCCCCGCGGAGCACCCCGAGGACAGGTGGGGGCGCGGGTCGTGAGGAGGGGTGACGGGGGAGGCGTGTCGGGGCAGGGGAGGAAGGGGTGTCACAGCGAGGAGGGGTGCCGTGGCGGGGGTGTCACCGCGTGTCGCCCCCCGTGCCCCAAGGCCGGCGCTGAGTGAGTCGCGGCTGCGCAGCCTGAGCCGCTCGGCGCTGCTGGCCGAGGTGGCCTCTGCTGAGATGAGCCTTCACGCCATCTACCTGCACCAGGTGCGTCACCCGCCCGTCCGGGGTCCCCCTGCCCACAGCACCCCGGGTCCCTTGGGGCTCCCTGGTGTCTCTCACCAGAGCGTCACGGTCTGCGTGCTCTGCCTTACCCCCGGAGCCCTGCCTGGCCCTGGTCCCTTGTCCCCCGTCCCTCGTCCCCAGTGCCGTTCCAGGCTGCCCCCAGCCTCCGTGACCCGCTGGGTGACACCCACCCTCCGTTCTCGGCCACTGATGTCACCCATGGTGCCCCTTCTGCCCCCCTTGGGGGCTGGGGAGTGTCCCGGGCACGGGGGGCTCCGAGTGCCAGTACGGGGGGCTCCGCTGTGCTGGGGGGTTCCAACAGCAGTGTGGGGGTCTGGCTGCCTGTGGGAGCGTTCTGAGCTGTTCCCTGACCCCTCTGCCCCCCAGCTCCACCAGCAGCAGCAGCAGCAGCCGCAGGGCCCCGGCCCCCAGCCCGCGGGGGCACCCAAACACCCCTTCGTGACCACAGGTGAGCCCGGGGGCTGTCCCGGGGGCTGGGGGACACTGCTGACGCCCCCCCCCCACCGCGGGGCTGAGCCTGGAGCCGGGGCAGAGGGGTTCTGGAGGTCCTGACCCCCCTGTGCCCCCCAGGCTCGGCTGCCCGGGCCTCGCAGCTGCGGGAGATGCCGCTGGGCGGGTGGGCCGAGGAGGAAGAGGAGGAGGAAGAGGAGACGATGACGTAGCCGGGCCCGGCGCCGGTGGGTGGGGACACGGGGGAGCGGGGACCCCCGGGACTGGGACATGGAAACCCCCGGGGGTGGGGGACATGGAGACCCCCAGGGCTGAGGGGACAGGGACTCGGAAGGGGCACACTGGGACACGGAGGGGCTGGGGAACAGAGACCCCCGGGGCTGGGGAACAGGGACCCCCGGGACTGGGGAACAGGGACCCCCGGGGCTGGGGTTCAGTGGGGGCTGGCTGCCACGTGTGCTGGGGTGCCCAGTGTTGGGGTCCCCAGGTGGCAGGGTCCCTGCTCGGGGTCCCTGCTGACACCCCATTCCCTCTGCAGGGTCCTGGTTGTGCCGAGACCCCCCGGAGGTGCCGGGGGAGCCACCAGGGGCACAGTGGGGGGCTCGCCGTGCCCACTATGCTGCCAGGGGGGCCCTGTCTGTAGGAGCCCCCTGCTCGGGGCGTCCCTGGTGCCCCCACTACGGTGCAGGGCCAGGGGTGCTGCCAGGGCCCCCCCAGGTGCTGTTTTTTGGGGGGCACAGGGCTGGTGCCCCCCGTGGTGCCCCGAGCACCAGCTGAAATAAAGGTTTACAGAGGGGCTGTGCCCGCTGGCTGTGCCCGGGGTGAGCTGGGGGTCCCGGGGGGGGGGCACATGGGTG